GCGAGACCTTGCCTCAAAAAAAAAAGAAGAAAAGAGACAAAAATCCCTGCCCTCACCCAGCTTACATTCTAGCAAGGAAGGACACTGGTACGCAAACTGAATTGCGAGTTAGATGGAGAAGCGCTCCACAGAGAGAAGAAAGTAGGTGGGCGATAGTGGTGGGGGAGTGCTGCGGGTTGGGTTCTCCAGAAGCAAATGCTCACTGGGAGTTTGAGGCCAACACCTGTGAAAGGAGGGGAGAGGAAGAAGGACTGGGCAGAGGGAGAACTTGAACCTTGGTGGAAGCCCAACAAAGGGAAGAACTTGAATTGAATGGTGATGGAAGCCCAAAAAAGGGATATAGTCTGTCAGAGTCCCACATAGGACGGAAATGGTCAGTCCCTCACAGCCTCCACTCTACTGGGGCTGCCCTGGGCAGGGTGTGATCTCGGGTGAGGCTCCAGGCAGCCCTGGATGAACAGAAAGCCGGAGGGTGTCTGAGGATTGCTCCTCCCGCGGCCCCCCTCACAAGGGGATCTGATGGAGCAACCTCGTGTCTGCCACACGGGTGCGCCCGGGGAAAGCCGCAGGGAGCAGAGACCTGAAGGAGTTCAAGGCAGTGAGCCCTGCAGATATCTGGAGGGGAGAGCCTTGCAGACGACAGGAATAGAAGCTCAAGGACCCCCAATGGGGCCGCGACTGAGGCCTGGAGCAGCAGCGGGCGGCGGCGGGGGCTCGAGCGAATTTGCTGCGGGAGAGTCAGGCAGCTGCGGCCAGCTGTGCAGGCCCCGACACTCGGACACTCGGGCTTGGACTCTGAGTGGGAGGGAGGGTCGCGGTGGGGACATTCCTGAGGGAGGGAGACCCTGGAGCGGGACAGCCCTGGGGAGTCCACTGCGGGGCTTCCAGTGAGGGGAGCTAAGGGCGAGCTGGGGCGCGGGCAGGGGAGTGTGGGGAGTGGAGGCTGCGAGACGAGGCGCTGCAGATTCTGACCTCTGAGGGCGGCTGGCGGCGGGACTGTGCCCGCGCGCTGGCCAACGCCAGCTTGTTCATCGGCAGCTTTAGCCAACGTCTACTGCCCTCTGGCGGGTGTGCAGGAGATAACCTGAGCCTGCTTCCAGCTTTTTCTTTCTTTTGCCTGTGGTCTATGGACTCACCTTCAACTCTGGACTACGAAAACTCTCTTGTCACAGATGGTGGAGGTGGCAGGCAGCACTTAGGAGGCAAGACCTCCTCAACTTAGAGACAGGGAGGCAAAGGGAACCGATGCGGCAGTGTTTGGAGTGGGGTTGGGCAGGGCCCTTGCCGTTTTCCAGTAGTGATGGTCACCAGCACCCAGAAGAAAAGTGGGACTAAAGGATGCATCCAGGGCTGGCAGCTGTAGATCAGGTGTCCCTCTCAGGAGGCCAACAAGAAGACACTGAAGGCACTTGCCAGAGAGCTCTGAGTTCAAGGGCACAGTCACGGGTTCCTGCCAGGGAGGGAAGGGAATGGAGCTGGGAAGACATGACTAACGGAAAGAAAATGGACATGTTGCAGGCCAGTGGATCAAAACGGAGCTAGAGATCTGGTGGTGGACTGAGGGCATGAGAGGACTGTGGACAAAGAGGGAGCCATGAGAGGCGCAGAGCCACAGGAGGCATGGCTGCTGCCTTTGCTGCTGCCAGACCCAGGAGCCTGCACTCACTCCTGCTGCCCACAGTCACTCACCACTGATGCTGACCCTGTCAGAGCAGTCACCAGTAGCAGAAAAAATGGCTCTTCCTTCTTCCTGCCTCCTAGTCTACTGCCAGTGTCTCCCTGGCAGAGTCGAGCTAGAATCCAGCTGGCAGAGAAGTCTGGAAGGTGTAGTTTGCAGGCCTGTAGCCCCTCCAGTACCGAGGAGAGCACTCCAGCCTAGGGGAGGGACCAGCTTCCCAATTGCTATGTAAAATTCCCTTCTCCCTTTGGTTCCGCCAGTCCTTCCAACACTCTTTTACTCAATTTCCCGCATCGAATCCTTCTGTTTGAATTCTCCACAGCTGCACTGGACTGTTCAACATGTGCATAAACTATGACTAGGGGCAAATCAAAGTATTTGGGGACCTGAAAGTTATATAATTGGGGGTGAGAGGATTCTCTTTAAGAAAATACAACATTACAAATAATAGATTAGCTTTATTAGCTTCATAATAAATTAACACCTCTGCCTATAACCCAACAATTCTACTATTAATAGGATATATATCCTAGAGGAATTCTAGGGAAATGCAAATTAAAAGCACAATGTGATACCAGTACACATTAGAATGGCTAAAATTGCAAAGATTGACTATACCATGTATTGTCAAGGAACTGGAACTTTTATACATTGCTGGTAGGAATGTAAAATGTTACAACCATTTTAGAAAACATTGGCATTATGGAATAAAGTTGAAGATGTGCAGCTTTTCCATTTCTGGTTTTATTCCCTAGGGACAGTCTTACACATATGCACTAAGTTTTATGTATAAGAATATTCATGGCACTAGCCTGGGCAAGAGCAAGACCCTGTCTCTCCTATAAGTAGAAAGAAATTAGCCAAACAACTGAAAATAGAAAAAATTAACCGGGCATGGTGGCGTGTGCCTGTAGTCTGAGCTACCCGGGAGGCTGAGGCAGAAGGATCACTTAAGCCCAGGAGTTTGAGGTTGCTGTGAGCTAGGCTGACGCCACGGCACTCTAGCCCAGGCAACAGAGTGAGACTCTGTCTCAAAAAAAAAAAAAAA